CCTGCCGATGCCTGGGGCTGGGCACGCTCCCGAAAAGCCACCCAGGGAGAGTCCTCTGGGCTGGGCACAGCGTCTGGGCTGAGCAGGGGGTGTGCCCACTCGTGTCTGTGACTGGCCCTGGTGTGCTCTGGGCACGACTCCCCCTGCACATCCAGCACCCAGCTCGGGGTGACCACACGGGGGAGGTCTCCTCCTGAGCCAGACAACCCCCGAGATCCCATAGCTCCAAACCCTTCCTTGTTACCCACCCTGCCACCTCCGTGGTGCTGAGGGGCTCCGAGGGCCAGCTGGGGTGCCAGGGGCTGTGGGCATGGGGAGCACTAACCTGTCCTCTGCCAGGTCTCCACACCGTGGGCATCTTCCGAGTTGGGAGCTCCAAGAAAAGAGTCCAGCAGGTAAAGAGAGACATTGGCTGTGCCCAAGGGCCAGATGCTGGAGTGGGGGAATGAGTGAAGCAGATGTTGACATGGAGAGGTCTAGAACATCACGGGCACATGCTGGGTGACAGACAACCTGCTGCTGGGTCCTTCTCCCAGCCGTGGAGAGCAGGCTTCATCTCTCCAGGCTGCCTTCAGCAGATGAGCCACCATCCCCTGGCTGGCACCAGGAGCCCCCTCTGGGCTCCTGCTGGTCCTGTGGCCCATCCTCTGGGCAGCAGCAGGCTGTGGGGCTCTGGCATGACTTCTTTGGGGGTGCCCTGCATCAGGGGGAGCATGGGGGGGAGTAGTGAACCCTCCTGTTGGGCCACTGCAGTAGGGACAGATCTTGACCGTGAGCCTATAAAGAGGAAGAACCGACTGTTGTTTTTACTCTCCTTTCTTCCATCTCTCAGCTGAGGGAGGAGTTTGACCAAGGCCTGGAGGTTTTCCTGGACGAGCACCAGAGCGTTCACGACGTGGCTGCTCTGCTCAAGGAGTTCCTGCGGGACATGCCGGAGCCTCTGGTCCCCAGGGAGCTCTACTCACCCTTCCTCCACACAGCCTGTGAGTGCCCCACTGCTGGGGCTCACTCCCGTGCTCCACCAGCACCTCGGGGGTCACAAGGGGAAAAAAAACCCAGAATTTTTGCCTAGAGTGGTTGCCCAGCTCGGTGCCAGGTCCTGGCACAGCCCGGAGCTTCTGGAGCTGCCCCTCGGGTGGCTCTGCAACCTGCAGGGCAAGCACAGAGTCCTTCAGCCTGGAGAAGATCTTTCACATCAAAGGGTCCCACCGTTCCCCCAGCAC